CGTCTAATAAGTCAATAAAGGCCACTCCAGTCTCCCTGGTCTTTGCCGATAATAGTGTCTGTCTTTGCTGTGGGTTTCTGATTGTTAAGGTCCACAGGATGTGGGTCAGCGCCCTCTCTTACCGGCGGTCTTTGTCTCGACAGCGGACCCATCTAGGGGAATGGATCGGAGATTGCGGTAGATGCCGCGCAAGTCAACTCCCATTTTAATCTAGCAGAAGCCACTGTCCCTGCACCACCCTGCAATGGAGCACACAGCGGACCTCGACGCAGGCGACGGTTGAACTGTCATTTTTAAAGCGCTTCCACCCAGCTTGCCGAGTTCATCATCCGACAATTATTTAAGCAAACCTCCCTACCTACAATCTCCGCAATGGGCTAAGTAGTGTCGGTTAACTAATTTAAATGGCGGCCACGGCGTTTTATAATTTAAAGACAATTAACTGTAATCTCTCTGCGGTAGTCTTCACCAATGTTAATTAAATAAAATTAACTAAATTTCTAATCTACTTATAGAAGGAGCAAAAACATAATATAACCTAGGTTGACGTGTTTCATCCATTCCGGCAACGATCTCGTCATGCTAAACGCTCGTCTGGCGAAACGTTTCCAATAACACTGCATCACCTCACTTATTGGCTGCGAACAACGGAGGACTCACACCCTGAGAGCAAGACTCAACGGCGAACACATGTATGCACACGCAGTTACAACTCGTTCACTGGGCGGCAGCTCTTCAATGGAAAAAATTTTTACCGCTTCTGTCTTGTTCATTTGCTGAAAAGCCCGTATTTAGGGCTACTCTTCATCCGAAGCTCCACTGTAATTATCGTAGGGTGAAAATATTTCACCCCCTCCAACATCCACTGCAATCCACTGATTTAAGAATTTTAAATCCAAAAACGTTTTTCTCATTTAAAAACATACTTTTAAGCCTATTATATCCAAAACTATTAGAATACGACGAATTATTTTGTAGACCTCCATAAAAACAACGCACGCGGGGACACTGTCTATGCTTGGTACATTACCGAGAAGCGATATTTCCGCTGATAACAATAAATCACAATTTCCTGATTGCCACTGGCGACAATGCTAATGGACAATGGCCAGTTTGAACCATTTAACAATTTTCTAAATCCTCTTCATTCATAAACAGCTTTGTTTAAATCCCATTCCCCCCGCTTGTCTAGACATATAAACCGAAAAAATGCATCCAGCTCTCTGAATTAAAACATAAGGTTTGATTCAGGGGATTTGAGAAAGTCCGCCCCAGTGCAAATCCTAATGCCGCCCTCCCCATCTTTTCCAACAAAAAAATGCTTCGGTGCTTTTTCACCGCTGTCCTGTTAGTCCATACACGGAAAAACTGGAGCATGGGTTCGTTATTCTTTTTGCTGGAGATAATTATTTGAGTTTGGACCTCAAGTGTGCCAAAAATTCCAATAACTAC